ATACTGTGCTGAGAGCAACTCCAGAGATGTCTGTATGAAGATAAAAGGGTTTTTTGAAATCTGGGTACCTTAATATAGTGCTGAAGTTAAGTGACCCTTTAGTGCTTGAAATGCTTGTTCATGCTAAAGTCCCCATTCATAACTAACGCCTTTTTCTAATAATTTGTGTAGAGGCTTGGCTGTGGTTGCGAAGCCTTGAATGAATCTATGATAGTAGGATGCAAGGCCTATAAACCCCGCAGTTGCCTTAGATTCGTCAGTGCTAGAAATTCTTTGACTTTAATTATTTTTTCTTTATCTGGTTGGATGCTGTTCCTTCCTACCACATGGCTGAGAAATTGTATATTTGCCCTGAATAGTTGGCATTTTTCTAGATTTAGCTTGAGTCTCACCTGTTGAATTTTGGTAAATACTTTTTTTAGGTAGTCGAGATATTCCTGGTAAGTGTTCGAGTATATGTTTATGTCATCTAAGTACACCGCTATGAACTTATTGATGTATTTATATAGAATGGTATTCATCACTTTGAAATGTGGCAGGTGCGTTACATAACCCGAACGGCATGATGTTAAATACATATATGCCATGCTTTATTATGAATGCAGTTTTTTTCTGGTCTTCTAATTTCATCGGTATTTGCCAGTACCCACTGGCCAAGTTAAGGCTGGAGAACCACTTAGCCTTCCCAATAGTCTCCAGCATATAATCGATACATGGTAGAAGGTAAGCGTCTTTTTTAGTTGCGGCATTTAATTTTCTATAATCGATGCATAGCCATAATTTACTGTTTTTCTTGGAGACTATAACCACGGGGGAAGTCCAGGGGCTTTTGACTTTATAAATTAACCATTTTCCAATAACTTTTTGATTTCTTTTTCTAGGAAGTCTTGTTCATTGGGTGAGATCCTATATGCCAACTGCTTTATATGCTTTGCGTTACCAGTGTCAATTTTGTATTGTACTTCTATGGTTTGGTCTAGTTGATCTAGCCCAGTTGTGAACAAATCACTAAACCGTCTCAAGAGATAAGTGGCTTTTTCTTTTTGTTCTTCATCTAATGTCTCGACTTGCACTAATGCATTAATGTTGTTTTCAGGGGTTGTATCAGGGTTTTCCTCTTTTCTGGTAGTGGAAATTTTTTCGATTGATGTTAAATATATAGCCGGGCTATACTCATCCTTCCAAGGATTAATGTATAGTTCTTCATCATCGTTAGATCTATCGGTGCAGTAACTTTCCACTTCCTCTGTCTCTTTTTCCTCATAATTATCGAAGTTGTTTTCTTCATTACTGAATTCAGAAGGCATTTCGGGCTGGTCTTCTTTTGCCTGATATAATAGCACCTCTATACACTTGCCTAGGTACCAGAAGAACAGCTTTTTTTCATCAAAATAGAGTTGGGCGCGTATCTTTTAGAACCAATCCATTCTTAGCATCATCATTTATTCGTTATTTTCAATAACTTGGAAACTGGTAGGTATCATAACATCCTGGATATACAATTTTAGGTCTGGCAGTTTTTCTAAAGCTCTTTCTCTTGTGCTGTTAGCAGTAACTACTACCG